AGCCAGTTGAGCTATAGGCGCCGAGCCCACAGGGTTTTTTTTTTTTTTATGAAAGTGAAAAATTAATAGGGCGGCACCTGTGGTTCAGTGAGTAGGGCACCTGCCCTATATACCGAGGGTGGCAGATTCAAACCTGGCCCTGACCAAATAGCACCAAAAAAATAGCCGGGTCTTGTGGCAGGCACCTATAGTCCCAGCTACTCAGGAGGCTAAGGCAAGAGAATTGCCTAAGCCCAAGAGCTGGAGGTTGCTATGAGCTGTGATGCCACAGCACTCTAGCAAGGGTGACAAAATGAGACTCTGTCTCTAAACAAAAAAAAATAAAAAAGTGAAAATGAATAATGCATAAGGAGAGTGAACATAATTACACGTTTGGGGTGGAGTATAGGGCACGAAAAGTGCAGTGAGAAATCATGCTAGTACATACATCTCACATAGGAATAAAAAATGGTGGATACGTCCCTCTCAGGACAGGGTTTTTAGTATTATAATGAGCTAGGGGTTAATATTGGTGTTTTTTTTTTTTTTTTTTTTGAGATAGTCTCACTATGTCACCCTTGGTAGAGTGCTGTGGTGTCACAGATCACAGCAACCTCAAACTCTTGGGCTTAAGTGATTCTCTTACCTCAGCCTCCCAAGTAGCTGAGACTATAGGCGCCCACCACACATCTGGCTATTTTTTGGTTGTAGTTGTCGTTGTTTGGCAGGCCCCGGCTAGGTTTGAACCCGCCAGCTCCCTTGTATGTGCCCAGCACCCTAGCCACTGAGGTATAGGCAACAAGCCAATATTGGTCATTCTTTCAGCATTGTATGCAGGTTCAGTGAATCCTTGGGCACAATCTGTGGCAGCATATTGTTTGTCTTTTCTGGACAACCAAGTGGTGTGAGGCTCTGTAGTTATAGCTGCAAGGAGGTTCTGCCATTCTTAGGAAAGAAACTCAAAAAGGAATGTTAAAGAAAGTTCTGGTTAGCAATTCTTACTCATCTGAGGACTTGAAACATAAGAGAACTATTAAAAAATACCCACATAAAAAAGGTTTTCTTTATGAAGCCAGTTACACTTCGATGTCTATTCTTTTGTGCATTTAACTTCTCCATTAGAATTTGAGCTCACCAGCTTGGTGCCTGTGGCTCAAGTGCGTAAGGGCCAGCCACATACACCCAAGGTGGTGGGTTCGAATCCAGCCCGGGCCCACCAAACAGCGACGGCTGCAACCAAAAAATAGCCAGGTGTTGTGGTGGGCGCCTGTGGTCCCAGCTACTCGGGAGGCTGAGGCAGGAGACTCGCTTGAGCCCAGGAGTTGGGAGATTGCTGTGAGCTGTGATGCCACGGCACTCTACCCAGGGGGATAGCTTGAGGCTCCTGTCTCAAAAAAAAAAAAAAAAAAGAATTTGAGCTCACCAAGGCCAGGGTTATGTGTATGTTTGGGTTTTTTTTTGTAGAGACAGTCTTACTCCATCACCCTCAGTAGAGTGCCATGGCATCACAGAGCTCACAGCAACCTCCAACATTGAATATTTTTCCCCACACTCTAACTTACTGATGCCTAATTAAAGTTTGCATAGGCTACATAGTAAATATGCTAGTTGCATATCTAGGCAATAAAATTGTCATCCTGGAGTACATCCTTCAGCTCTGTCACATATTTTTATTTTTTTTGAGACAGAGCCTCAAGCTGTCCCCCTGGGTAGAGTGCTGTGGCATCACAGCTCACAGCAACCTCCAACTCCTGGGCTCAAGTGAGTCTCCTGCCTCACCTTCCCAAGTAGCTGGGACACAGGCACCCGCCACAACGCCAGCTATTTTTTTTTTTTTTTGGTTGCAGCCATCGTTTGGCAGGCCGGGCTAGATTCGAACCCACCACCTTAGGTGTATGTGGCTGGCGCCTTAGCCACTTGAGCCACAGGCGCCGAACCAGCTCTGTCACATTTTGAAATACCAAAATGAAATACCAAAACTAATTTGGTGTATTTGAACTGTGAAGTTTGAATTGTTCCTAGAAGATTGCAGGACTCTGATGATGTAAACCCAGAATTGTGACCTCACTGGGGGTGTGAACAGGACATAGGTAAGGCATGAGGAGGAAGCTATAACTGGGGAAGAAGTTTCGGGGGCCAATAGAAAATGTAGGTAGACTTAGGGTTAAGTAGCAGCTGTTGGGAACTTGTCCTTGCCCATAAGATCTTGAAGGGCCATCCGTTTTGACTATCACCAGGCAGTTTGAAATTATTTCCTCTGTGTCAGCTAGCTAGAGGTGCTTGGGGTGCTGTGCCCAGCAAGACCCCCCCTCCCCAGAAGAGTAGGGGAGCCAAGTGGCCTAGATCTACTGTGGACTACCTGTTTGCTTGCCTGTCAGCTTCTCTTCACCTCATTCTCATCACTGACAGCTGCCGTTGGCCTGGAAATCAGAAACCCATATCCACCTAGATGGTAAATCATTACTAAGGAATAACTATTTGTTTATAGTTATTCACATTTAGAACTTAAAGTTGGTAGTTTGAATCTGGGATAGGCTTGGATGCAGAGATGTATTTGGATTGAACATGTTAAGTTTCACTGAAACTTTCACTTGCTCTTTGCAGATTGATTTTGGGGATGTGGCTTCAATAAACCCAGAACTCTTACAGCTTCTTCCCTTACATCCGAAGGATAATCTGCCCCTGCAGGAAGATGTAACAGTCCAGGTAGGTGCCTGTCACCTGGCTATTGCCAGTGCCCCAGATGATTCACTTTGCTTATTGACTCTTTGCTGATTTATTTTCTGGAACTGCCTGGGACTTCAGCCCAGCACCTAGGTCCTTGAGAATTGATAAGATTCTTATGTTGTAATGGTTTGTTTTGTTTTTCAGAAACAAAAACGTAGATCGGTCAACTCCAAAATTCCTGCTCCAAAAGAAGGTAACTGGATTTCTACCGGATTGTGTCATGGAGTTTGTGTCAGGAATGATGTTCCTAGGGCTCAAGAGTTGTGGAAGCTGAGAAATAGACTCATTGTTGCACTTCACAGGTGGCTTCTATGTGCGCTGAGTCTTGCCCTGTGTTCCAAGTATCTTTTCTGAGTGACAAAGAATCTAACCAAAGATTAGGCCAATCTCTAAGGGACCTTGTATATTTGAAAAATTTACTGACTGGCCTAGAAAGCTTTCCTATAGCATCCCTAGCCTGGTGCTGAAGAGAGCAGGAATCAGCTACTGACAGACTTGTTTTCTTTCCTCAGGGCTCAGCCTTCTCTCGAGAACAGTGTGCCTTGGAATGAGGCTTTGAGAAAGGCAGATACCTAAATTTGTGCAGCTTAGAAGTGCTGTGAAGAATGGGGGGTGAGGGTAGGGAAGAATAATATCAAGGTCTTGTGGTCTAGGAGAAGGCTGGTCTTTCTCTGCAGTAGTTAGTATAAACCTATAGTGGCTATGTGATGGACTGTGACCAGAGGTGGTGGCTGTAAGCATAAACTGTCCAAGAAACCCAGCTTATTTATTTTTGAGACTGGGGTAGAGTGCCATGGCATCATCATAGCTCACAGCAGCCCAAATTCTTGGGCTCAGGTGATCCTCTTACCTCAGCCCTGAGTAGCTGGGACTACAGGTACCTACCACAGTGCCCAGCTAGAAACCCAGCTTATTATTCAGAGCCAGCTGTACAAGGCAGGTGAACCTGCACAGCTATGTAGGCTTAGTAGTTATCTTTTGCCCTGGCGAGATCCAGCTACCTCAAGGACCTAGAGAATATTTGACTAGAGCTTTAGGTTCTAGGGGCCCTAGGTAGATGTGGTGCCATCACAAGCCTGAGCTGGGCCTGGATGGTGTGCTGCCCGCCCTTGCTAGGTGTACCATAAGGGCCTGCAGGAGACGTGGGAATGGCAGCAGTCCCATTCCATGTGCTGGCTAGGACCCATCTCGTACAGAGCCTTTGAGGTTTGCCTCATCACTCTCCCCCTTCCTCCATTGGCCCTCCTGATCACATAGCACTGACTGGGTGCTGCCCTCGGTTCTTTAGGTCTTCGAAGCCGCTCTACTCGCATGTCAACTGTCCCAGAGGTTTGCATCACCACTCAGGAGAATGACATGGAGGTGGAGTTGCCTGCATCTGCAAACTCCCGCAAGCAGTTTTCCGTTTCCAGTGAGTAATGATTGTGCTCTCCTATTTGAGATGCTGGTGCAGGCTCCTCACATGTTACCCTGTCCCTGTGCTAGAATAACCTATGATTCTTCCACTGCCCTGGCTCCAGCATTGTTTTGACCCTGCCCCCACCAACACTGCTTCCTTATCTGGAAATCATCTCTTTTTTACCTTTATGTTTTAATGTAATTGAGACATAACAAATACAGAAAATGGCACATAGCATTGAGTATATAGTTCAATGAATTTTCACAAACTGAAAATACTCATGTAACTAACACCTAGATCAGAGCCTTACCAGCACCCTGAAAGTGCCCTTCAGGCATGCTTCCAGTTCCTAATCCCTCCAAGGATACCCATAGTCTTGACTTGTAATGACATAAATTAGCTTTTTCTCTTTTTGTACTTTGTATAAATTTTTTTTTTCTGAGATAGAGTCTAAAGCTATTGCCCTAGGTAGAGTGCTGTGGTGTCATAGCTCACAGCAACCTCCATCTCTTGGGCTCAAGCCATCCTCTTGCCTCAGAGACAGGATCTTACTTTTGCTCAGGCAGGTCTCAAACTCATGAGCTCAAGCTATCCACCTGTCTCAGCCTCCCAAAGTACTAGGATAACAGGCATGAGCCACCCCACCTGGCCTTTTTTGTCTATTTGTTTGTTTGAGACTGATTCTCTATTGCCTTGGGTAGAGTGCCATGGAGTCAGCCTAGCTCACAGCAATCTCAAACTCCTGGGCTCGAACAATAATCTACCCACCTCTGCCTCCCAGCATGCTAGGATTACAGGTGGTGGCATGCAGGCTATATAAATGGAATTTTATTTTTATTTATGTATTTTTTGAGACAGTGTCTCACTTTGTCACCCTTGGTAGAGTGCTATGACATCACAGCTCACAGCAATGTCAAACTCTTGGGCTTAAGTGATTCTCTTGCCTCAGCTTCTCAAGTAGCTGTGACTACAGGCGCCCACCACAGCGCCTAGCTATTTTTTGTTTGTAGTTGTCATTGTTTGGCAGGCCCGTGCTGGATTTGAACTCGTCAGCTCTGGTGCATGTGGCTAGTGCCCTAGCCCCTGAGCTATAGGCACCGAGCCAATATAAATGGAAATTTAAAAAAATTTTTTTCTTTTTTTTTTTTT